CCACTATGACTTCATTTTTTCATTTCTAATTGCATTGCTGTGAATTTTTTTCTTTCATTCTTTTTGTAGGTTTGGCTAATGGCTTGTTATGGTTTAGACCTAGAATGTATGCACAAAATTGTCTGTGTTCAGAAGTGTGGCTTTTAGAAGGTTACTAGATTGTTGGATCACTATGCTCATCACTGGATTAATCCCTTGTCTCCTTCCTTTCTTCCCTTTTTCTGGTTGCCATGGCTTGAGCACCTTTTCCTCCCCCATGTCCCTCTGCCATCTTGTTTCTGCCTTGGAGCTTATCAACTATGGATAGAAAACATAAGCCAAAATAAACCTGTCCTCCTGTAAACTGTGAGTGTCAGGTGTTGTGTACCAGTGATGGGAATGTGACTAAAACATGGTTTGCCAATGTTTGTCCTTTCAAAGAAACAACTCTGATTCCTTGATCCTTTTTTTGTTTTGTTTTGTTTTAAGTCAAAATTTCGTTAATTTCTGCTCTGGTCTCTATAATTTCTATCCATTTCTTATGGATTGCTCTTGTTTTTCTAGGACCTTAAGCTACCTCATTACATGATTTATTTGTGATTATTTTATTATTTTAATGTGTGTATTCAAAGTCATAAACTTCCCTCTTTAAACTGCTTTCATTGTGTCCCACAGGTTTTGGTGTGTTGTGCATCCATTGTCATTTATTTGACTCTGAACGTTTTAGTTTGTTCCCTTATTTCTTCTGTAATCCTTTCATTATTAAATAATATATTATTTAATCTTCATGTGCTTGTGTAGTTTCTGTGATTTCTTTTGCTGTTGATTTCTAGTTTCATTTTGGTACGTTCTCATAGTATTCAAGAGATTATTTCCATTATTTTCTATTTAAGCAGGCTTTATGACCTGCTTAAATGGTCATGGGTATGGTCTAATGTGGAAAAAGTTCTGTGTGCTACTGAGAAAAATGTATATTCAATTATCAGATGAAATGCTCCATAAAATCTCGTAGATCCACTTGCTCAGTGGTTTAATGCTGACATTTCATTGTTGACTTTTTTGGTCTGGTGGACCTGTTTATTAGAGTGGGTGCTGAAATCCCCTGCTGTTTCTGTATAAGTGTCTATTTATCCTTTTATGTCCAGTAGTTTTTGTTTTATGAATTTGAGTATGCCAGCATTTAGTATATATATTTACAATTGTTATTTTTTCCTGTTGAATCAATCCCCTTACTCATATGTAGTGTCCAGTTTTCTATTTCCTCATGTCTCTTAGATCTAATAAACAAATTCAGCGAAGAGGTAAGATACAAAAATGGTACACAAAAATAAGTAATGTTCCTGTACACCAATGATGAATCTACCAAGAAAGGAACTAGGAAGACAATACCATTTGCAATCACTTCAAAAAATTAAATGCCTGGAAACTAACCTGAGGAAATAGAAGGCTTCTATAATGAAAACTATAGTACTATGAAAAAGAGATTAAGAGCGCATTAGAAAAGGAAATATATTCCCTGTTCCTGTACAGGCAAAACTAATATTAATGAACAAGTTAAAAGAGGAAAGGTTAATTTCAGCTCAGTTTGTAGAGGTTTCAGCCCATAGTCATCTGGTTTCAAGGCAAGACAACATGGCAGGGGAACATTTCAGAGAAGAAGAGGTCCACAGCGTGCAAGCAGAAGCAGCAGCAAGCAGCAAGCAGCAATCCTGCCTTCCCTCTCTCCCTTTATAGTCCATCTAGGTTATAAACCCTTTGATCAGGGCCACCGAACCTAGCATGGGGCTTCCATCATCCATACCCAGAACTATGCCAGTTCCCATCAGTGGACTAATTTAGTACTACGCACCCTTAATCTTAGTATCAGAGGCCCTAGACACAGCCAGCCCTGAAAAGCCCTACCTACCAGCACATGAGGCTTTGAGAGGGACATCTAGATACAAGCTATAGCAAAATTTTTTCGTGATTTTAAAAATATGTGCAAACATTTATAGTTGCTACTATCTTTTATAACTATCTTACTTGCAGGAAAGTTTCACTGAGGTTAAATATAGAGTAAGATAACATTTTACCCTTCGAATGATGCATTTTTAGCTATAAAGATACTCAACAAATAATGGAATTATTTCTGCAATTGATTGGTAATTCTTATTCTATGGATGTGGTTTGTACTCTTTTTTTTTTTTTTGTCTTTGAGACAGTGTTTCACTATGCAGTTCAGCCTGGCCTGAACTCACTTTGTAGCCCAGGCTGACCTCAAACTCATAGCGATCTTCCTGTCTCATTGTTCCAAGTGTTAGGATTACATGTGTGCACTATCACAGCCGGCCTGTGGTTTCATCTTGATCTCAAAAAAATTCCACCATTCTGTACTGCAATTTATATTTATGGCATTTTAAATCATGTTTACTCTAATTTTCCTCACTTATTTCAGAATTTCTTAGTTTTAACATTAAATCTTGAAAGTTTCCTACTAGAATAATATATCCCTGTGTGCATATAGAAACAAAGAAAATTGAATATAATTTATCCCATGTGGACTAAATGGATATACGTGTACTTTTTATTAGATATCATAGGGTATATTATTATTCTCATTTTTACTCTTATATCTCTAGCTTTTTGTAAAGTAAGTCTAAAAAATGTAAATGTAAACAAAAATTAATGAAGGGATTTTTATCTATATGTGCTGTTTATTTCCTCTGATTTAGTATCACAACAGGGAGTACCTTGTATGCCGAGACTCTCAGACTGAGCATATGTCAGTCGTACTGTTCACATCTCTATGGATGGTCTTATGAGACACTCATACCATAACAAAAATGCTAATGGGAAGAAAATAATATTTTCAATTACTTTATATTACTATGACACTATGGAGGTAGGATGACTTTTCCCAAAATGAAGAGGTATCTTAGATGCTAGTTTTGATAATATTAGAATTGGGTGGCTCTTTAAAATGACAATTTATTTAAACAAAGACCAGCAGCCTTTGTTTTATAATCAGTGTTGAACAGTTGGACTGTTTGCTGATCATAGTCTCAAGGATCTGGACTCTATTTAATTTGACAGTAGTTTTTAAAATAGGAGTAGTGTGTCCTATGTTTATTGCAGGTTGCAGTTCATCTCTATTGTACCTTGAAAATAACTACATAATGGTGTAAGGGGTCATAAAAAGTCTTTATAGAAAAGCTACTTTATCTGGACCTTGAAGAATTGCTTGTTCTTTGAAAATTGGAAGGAGTTAAGAAAATGTTAGATAGAGATCAACCAAAGAGCTGGACACAATGAAATGAGATTTAAGCCATGCATATTTTGAGGTTTCTATGAAGAAAAAGATGATTAATCCAATTAGATGTCAAGGTAGGAAGGATACCCAGAGGAAAGTAATGGGAGTTATACTGTAGAGATCACCCTGGGAGCATTCTAAATTCCAGAAAGAGACATTTACTTTTCAATTTATATGTCATGGGAAATTATGTGGTCAAGTCTATAGACAAATCTGTTATCCGTAGATATTTTAGTGGATTAAGGATGGCACTACTTAGAGGATAAATTAGAAAGAGGCAAAAAAGAGGGAGAGCAAGTCATGTGGACTGAAAAACAATGAGAGCCTAGGTGGGAGTGGGAGAAATAAAAATGAGCAGGTGCTGTGTCAACTACAGGCAGTGGCAAGCTGTAGGAGGAGGACAGGCAGAATTTGATGGTGGAATGAACAAAGGGAGAGAGAGAGAGATGTGGTGAAGATAATGAAGGCAAAGGAACCGGATAGTCTTCCTAAGATTCTTGTCAATATGACCAGCTAAAGCACGAAGTAAAACACAGAGTAGAACTGCTTTAGACTTTATCCAGTGGAGACTCAAGAATAATGCTTTGAAAACTGGATCTTCATATTTCTATTTTATCACTGCGATTGCCTAGTGAGTAGGCAAACTTCTAGTAACTAGGTACAGTGATTCACTGCGGTGCAGGGGTGCAGAAGCTATTCAGGGCTGTCCACTGTACTGACCTTTTGTGCTGTCTGTAGATAGTTGCTTCAGAGAGGTTTTACTTTCCTAATTAGGTGACCTTTGGGGCTACTGCAGGCTGTAGTGACTTAGCATTTGTCTTGTGGTCTGTGGGTGGCAGTGTTGCACAGAAAGAAAAGTGGTGCCATGTCTGCCCCTTAATTCCTGTATTATCAGATCATCTTCAGAATTACCTGGGATTTCTTTTTAAACATAGATTCCCATATTCGATCCCTTAGTGATCCTGACGGAATTATTCTGAGATAGCACACCAAGGCTTGTGTTTAGTATTCTGAGTAATTTTGAGAATTAGCTAAATTTAGGAGCTAGTGATCAGATTCTCAGTTGTCATTGGATTTCTCTGAACATTACATGTGAAAATGCATCTGAGGTTTACAAACTTTGAATCACAATAGAATGTAATTGAATTGCTTCTAACAATTACTTTTGCATCACTTTTCAAATGACTTCACCAATTAATTTCTCATTGGTTTGAAGCTTGACTATATGAGGTCATTTTTTTTTTTATTTTAAAGAGAGTAGTAAATGAGAAACAAACAAGCAAAGAAATAGAACAATAGCAGCATACCAGTATCATAAACATAAACGAATCAAAGCAAGAATATTCAAAGAGATACAGAGTCTCAGGACAAAATAATACGAATCAACAGTGGTTGTTACATTACATATCACTATTCTCAACTACATTGCTCAGGTTACCAGACCTAAGAATGAAAGGTTGCTCAAACCATCATAGGGAATAAGCAAATAATTCTTCTATAAAAGAGTAGAGATAATACAGAGCTTCATTAGACAAGATGACCATTACAATCACCATTACAAGATGACCATTACAATCACCATTGTAATTCCAGTGCATATTGTTACCTTCAAATCAGTATGAGGTCATATTTGTTGGATTTTTATGCATGATGATAGTGAGATAAAACATGAATTCTATCCAATTTAATTCATAAAATCTAATGTTAATAGATGGAAGAAAGTACAAGAGCCTTGCTTTCATTTCTTTTAATTCAGAGAAAAAAGGTTTAAATAACAATGAAATCTAAACAAGACTAATTTCTGTATACTTTTAATACAAAACTCATGTTTATTATTGATACTGATAATTTAATTTACAAGTATATTCTGACTTCCTAGTTTCTAGGATAATAGTTTAAGTTAAATACACTATTCTCTTCATCACTTCCAAATCAAATACTTTTAACACAAAAACTTTTGTGTCAATAATAGCAATGATGATTTTTAAACACATACAATACTTTTGAAATAGTTATCCAAATTAAGGGATTTCAGCAGCACATACAATATTTATCTAATAGTACATAGCATAATTTTCAGTTGAACTTGAAGCTTATAGAGTTCTGTAATCAGCCTCATAAGTTTTATTCGCACTTTCTGTATAACCAGTGTTACTTTGTTTTTTCAGTTCTGAGGGATTTTCTAATACAGAGGTCAGTTACATTTTGTGACAGTACCATGATATCTTCTTTCCTTCTCTGGTCTCTCAGTTTTTATTTTGCTTATGCTTCTTTAATCTTCTGCCTGGATAACTTCCACATCCATCCATTCTGAGTCACTTGTTCTTTCTCTAGGACTGATGAGTCACCCAAGCAGCCATCTTGGTGCATATCCCTTTTGTCCTTGATACCATCTCTTCAATTCCCTTCACCCAGGAACCAGTCACTTTAGGCTACCAGCCTGAAGGTCATTTAGAAGATTTAAGTAAATATCTGATTTCAGGAACCTGGGATAAGAGTCCTTTTCCATAAGAGTATATATGAGTTTTTGGGCTTCATCAAAACATGTTGGTGTAGGTGATTTAATCTTCTTGGCTGTAGATTCTCGAGTGCGAAAGTCAATATTGATCTAAAAATAAATTTTTGTTGGTTAATATATACTTCTACTTATGTTAAATTTTATTGTTATTGGGTTTTTATTTTAAAGAGAAAAAACAATGATACAAAATTTCAAAGCATGGTAATAGGAGAGTAACTACTTAATGCATTGCGTATTGTCATCTTCAAATTAGTTGCTCAGATTACAAGATATAGGCGTGAAAAATTGATCAAACAATATAAGCATAAACCTTCCTTTTTAATGAACTAATAGAAATTAGTAATATAACTAACAACTGTCTGGTATATATATATATATATATATATATATATATATTTATTTATTTATTTTTCTTTTCTTTTCCTTCTTTTCTCCTTTCCCCCATTCTAGTTGCTCTTTCTTTTGAACAGTTTCTTCCCATTTTACAATATCTATTGTACATTTTGGGTCTTATTTATTCTTTCAGCTTCTTATACTAGGGAGACAGTGCAATTTTTACACATGTGAGTCTGATTTATTTTACTTATGAGTATGGTCTCAAGTTGCATCCATTTACCTATAAAAGTCTCAAGTTTATCCTTCTTTATGGCTGAGTAGTACTCCACTGTATAAAAATACCACATCTTTTTTTATCCAGTCCTCAGTTGATGGGTATTTGGGTTGTTTCCAAGATATAGCTATTACAGCTTGTATTGCTATAGACATGGATGACATATATCACTGTGGTATGATGTTTTTAATTTTTCTGGGAAAATACCCAGAAGTGGAATACCTGGGTAAAATGGGACTTCTAGGAAGTGGTTTTAAATCCTCATCTAATCAGTTACCCCTTGAATGCCTAGGCCCTATAGCAAGTATGCAGGAGATCAAAAAATCAAAAACGTCTTTGCTCCAACTTTTCTCATAGTGTAATTGGAAGACAAAGAAGAGATAGACATGAAAAATGTATCCATACAAGGAGGTACATGTAATAAAAAAGAGTGACATGGACCTTTAAAATTTGCTAGGTGAGAGAGCTCTTTATGCAGGCATTTTATGGTTGCACTAAGAATATTTCACTGAAAAGTGAACATTACAACTTACTAGATATAATTTTGCTGCTGCAGTTGAATGTATGAGAACGATCTCTATTTTATTCTATCCAGTATGAAATAGTTCATTAAGGGTTCCCAGACATTCATTTCCAACCAATAATACCTGTTCTCAATTCCCTATCCTCATCATGTGAGGTAGTTTTGCAAAAATCAGTCTTTTCATTCTCTGTATGGAAATCTTCACAGATATAAGAATTATACTATTACTACACTGACCTATATGAATATACTTAAATATATAGAAGTAAAATGGCATGCAAAAAGAATTGCATCTTGATATGTGTGTTGAATGTTCTCTCTAGCTAAATTCTTTTACATAAATGATAAGGAACTAAATACTTACTTGTTTAGCTGCTTCTGAATGCACAAATACTTTATATATGTTCTCTGCTTTCGAGTGCAGGAGATTAGACTCTGTTTTCTTATAGTCTTCACAAGCCAGCCAGAACTCAATATTCTCTTCACTGAACTCAGACTTTAGGAAATTTCCAAACACATCTTGACCAGCTAAAAAGAAGCCAAAGAATTGAGCTAATTAATTAATTGAAGCAAGGAATGAATAACTTAAAAAAATTTGCAAGAAATATAATACCCCATTCTACACATATAAAGGTGATAGACCTACTTGGAAATAACTGTTTTAGTTTGTACAGAGTGGAGAGCTTTAGAAATTCTTCTATACATAGAAGAGAAATCTGGGACCAAACTTATTCACAGTCACAGAGCTGCAGAGTGTGGTCCCATAATTGTGCTTTGCTTCTATCTAATAGATGCCAACCTATTACCCAGAGTTTATAGTAGTACAAGGGTGCAAACATTTATGGAAAAAACACCAGCATCTTATTTCCTTACCCAGTCATATTTAGGCCTATGTATATCACTTATGTACCTAATATACAGATTATGTTGGCTCATGTTCCTGGTAATTATGGGGACCATTTCCATGCCATTTCTTTGTTTAGCTAAATTGAACAGTTAGTCTAATCATTAGAGGGATGTACAGGATTGAATTACTCGATACCAAAGATCCTTATGATGTTTCTAGGGAGAAGAGAATGAACATATCCTTCAAGGTTCCAAACCCCCTAGAATTGCAGCACCCATGACAGGGGGAAAGCAAGTGATTTCATTCTTTCATCAGAAAATTCCCACAAGACTCTGTGTGTAAAAATCCTTTTATCTGTGTTGTAACAAGTATTAAATTACATATAATGCAGTTATTTCCTTGATATTGAGCACCTTCAAAGTAGTAAAATAGTGTCTTTCTTTTGCTTGCCACATAAAGGTGGGATGAATAGGAGACTTAATGAATCTAGAAAAGATAATATATTAATCCAATGAAAGAATCCTGCCTTTTATATCCACCAATTCAAAATAAATTCTTTAGGCAGCTTTTGAAATGATAATTTACATGTTTAGATATTTGGTTTGCTTTTTAAAACTTTAAACTTCAGAACCCTAGAATAATTTTAATTTTGTTCCTGTGGGGACTGATGAAACTCCAACTTGCTTTGGCAGATTTATCTAAAGGACAGTGGTAAAACTGAGTGCAAGATCAACATTATATTACAACGAGGCGTACTGTGTTGGAATTTTAATGACTGTGGAAAAGCCAGAATATAACAGTTTTTACACTAGCCTACTCAAAATACTGTTTAAATGAGGCCATTCAATATATTAGGGTACTGAGCTGAAATTAAGAACATCTAGTAATTAAGTCGTACTTACTTTGATTAGCAAGAAGTTTTTCAAGAGATTGAGACCACTGCATTACTTCATCAGCAGAAAGTCTACAGGAGATGAAATTTACATAAATTAGTAAAATATTTTTATGTAAACCATGATGATATCAGAATAGCTGATGCATTTTGATAATTTCACAAACTAAGACTCTAGTTCTAATAAATTTTATTAACATTTCTGTATAGAAATTCCTTAGAATTACCATAGTTATGAAAATAATCCACAAATAAAATTTGAAACAATATAAACATATAAAATCTATTAGCAAAACAAATTTTACTTTTTGTAAAAACTAATAGCAGACATATGTACACCCATATGTGTATTTACATTGGTGGTAGTGTAATCTAACCTTATTTGGCATGTTACCTAAAATAAATGAAGTCTATTATGTGCAATATTAATTTCTAGGATACAGAGCTAATGCCTAGGCTATTCTTCTAAATAATAATGATAATTCAATGTATCAATGTACATACATGGCCTTGGACTTGGAAGATTTCATGCCTGATTCTAGATGCGGCATCATAAATCTCAGGTGAGCTTTCATGTCCATTCCACTGCAAAAGGGAGAAAGTGATTATTTGTATTTCTTCAGTAAATTCATTTTATTTGTAAAAAGGAAGGCACCTGGTAAATGTTTCCAAGGAAAGGCAAAAATAAAAATAGTTGATGTAATATTTTGCCACATTAACACAGAGTCATTTTTATGAGTCAGTGTCTGGAAACATTCTCTCTTAATTTAATGCCATAATACAATTTACTTCTTAATACTACTGGATCTTACTTATAACTCACAACAGGTAATTGCTACAACCTGTTTAAACTAAGTACTCATTCTCTTCCGTTCATTGTTTACAGTCCCTCTACCGTTAAAACAAGCTAAGTGAAACACTGAGGGAACTTACAAAGTTCTTGGTCTCCTTTTGTGTGTTTTGTCATCTAAAAGCGAGTGGTCAGTTTCTTTCAGGTCCTTTGGGTGAGCAGAGAAGAACATTCCTGGCATTTTGTCCAGCCTTGGCGTAGAGATGGCTGCTGCTCTCATGGCCTCTCACAGCAAGTGTCTGTTAGCCAACGTCTCTGCTGCTTTATATAGCCAAGGCAGACAGGCGCTTGCTGCTCGAAGGAGACTGTTTATCAAGTGATGTTACCACAGACACAGAAGTTCCTCCTTCCTTGAGTGCTGTGACGTGTATCTTGAAAAAAAAAAAGCATACTGTGATGCCTTGTGGTTGAAACTTAACCAAAGGAGAGCAGGTCACTTGATTAGAAAGAAAAAAAAAAATTAAGCACACAGACACACACACACACACACACACACACACATACATCACACATCTAAAGCATTAGTATCGTCACTCTTTGGTTTGGGGGAAGTGTCCTTGTTTGAGGTAGAAAATTACATATGCCAATAAAATGTTTCGTTTGCTGTATGGTATCACTCAGCATTAAAGTTGTATCTCCTTCCATGCTTTGGATTGTCCGTGATTGAATGTAATATTTCAAAAGATCCCCCACCCTTGGAAGTGGTATAAACAAAAATACTTTTTGTTTATTTTTGCACCTGTATGATAGAAAGGAAAGATATGAGGGATTATCTTTGCCGTGTCTCACTTTGACTCTCATCACTTATTTTCATGGCAAAAAATTTTTATGCTAGTGGTTTTCCAGGCATGTACTAGATGTTTGACTGCTGTTGTGTAAGATCATTATAAAGGCCACATCTTGGGGCTGGGGATTTAGCTCAGTGGCACAGCACCTGCCTGTCAAGCGCAAGGTCATGAGTTCAATTCCCGGTACTGAAAAAAAAAAAAAAAAATAAAGGGCACATGTTTTAAAATATTTGTTATGAATGTAATCAATATATCAAACTGTGATGGTTTGGATATTTAGGAAAAAAAGCTAAATGTAAAAAAGTAAAATTTAAAAAGTAAAATGTAAAAATAGCTAAAAATAAGTAAAAGTGTAATTCATATGCTGACTTGGTGCACTATATCATAATATATGAGGTGTAATCACAAAATACAGTATAGTAAATGTTTAAAGTTTTGAAAAATTATTACAATAGAAGACACATTGCTATTAATCTCCCTCAAAATACTCCTTCTCACTCTGAACACACTTATCATACTTGCCACTTTCTGAAGCAGTTCTGAAAGGCCTATTTTGTGAGTGTCTTTAGTTACACTGTTATGGGTACCTTGATGTCCTAAATTGACTCAAAACACTGTCATTTTGATTTGGGGGAAAAGCGAGAGGTCTCATGGTGCTGGATTCAGATTCAGTGAATGAAGTGGATGAAGTCACATATTTGGTGGTCCTGGGGATGGAATTCAGGGCCTTGAGCATGCTTTTTCAAGCCTGCCTTTCCTTTGGACAGCTTTCTGCCACAGGATTCATAGTAATTTTGATCATGTCTTGTATAGACACAAAAGAGGACCTCTAGAACTGCTTCAGAAAGTGGCCAGAGTGATAAGTGTGCTCGAAGCAAGGGGGGGATATTTTCAGTGGGATTAATGGAAATGTGTCTTTTACTAATAAATTTTTAAAATTTAAACACTCTACATTTTGATCAGTCCTTGTTTGAGTGTATTGATACTAAATAATTAAACAGTATCACAAGGAAAAACCACTCAAGGTAAAATAAGAGTTTATTTGAATAGACCAAAAATTTTTTTGTGCTTAGGTAATGATCCTTTAGACATTAGTAATATCTCTAGTGAGTTACAGTATAGCTTTTATTGAGATTAAAGTCTAAAAATTGAATTAAAAAACTCAATTAATAGATTGTCAGAGTAGAAGAGTTACTACAATTTAAGCTTTAGAGAATTTATAGGGCTCCCAGTTTAATTCTTTGGATTTTGCCCCTGAAAAGATAGTTTTTAGAGAGACTTCTGATGTTATTAGGTAGAAGTGATAAAAAAGAACAAAGTATTATTTTTTCTGTCCTTAGTCTATCATCAAGATAAGCAATATTTAAAGGAAACAAGTGGGGCTGGGGATTTAGCTCAGCGGCAAAGCGCTTGCCTGGCAAGCGCAAGGTCGTGAGTTCGGTTCCCGGTACCGGAGAAAAACCAAAACCAAAAAAAAAAAAAAAAGGAAACAAGTTTACCATATTGTAAAACTCATACACAGTCAAGTGAACACATCATATTTTATGTAGCAGTATCATTTAATGTTATGAGGGTAATATGATACATTAACAAATAGAACTAGTGAGATGAGATGGTCACTTTGGAAGTGACCGAACAAAACTGATAGAAGACAAACACTGTTGACAGAAAGACATTTGTATGCTTCCTGTGGTTTCATTTTTACCTTCCTGTTAAAATCTTCTGTATTTTTCATGTTTATCTAACTAATAATCCTTTAATCCTCTAGATAACTGTAAGTTCTGTTAGAAAAACAATTAAAAGTTATTTTGAATGGTTTACTATAATTATCCAAATATACTGATAATTTCCTAGTATATATCTGAAACAATAATTTGCTTGGATGTTAATAAGCATAATAAGAAACAAAAGCAAGAACACAATTTATGGTCAAACAAGTTTGGGCAATGCTGGTTCCTAACTTTTTAAGAATCACATCCTCTTTAGGTAGGAAAATAGTTTTTAGAATAAATATTCTCTTTACACCACATTTGGACACTTTGGTCTGAGATCAAATAAATATTTCCTTGTGTATTAAGGAATTGCTTTAAATCTCTCAAAACTTTCCTACCAGAATATAGTCCTTGGAATTCAAACATTTTCAAGTAATTGCAATTGCATGCTTCTAAACTCAAATATAGGAACAAACTCTTGAAAAAGTGAGTCTTTCTGAAATTTGTGTATCACAATTGGCTGTTGAAATTATCTTAACAGCCCAATAATGCAGTTGTTGTTTTGACTGTGTTTGACATCCCCTGCAAGAGCGGCGAGTGCCACAGCAAGGCACTCACTCACCTGTATCAGTAAGGCCTGCGGGATCCCTAGCAGAGCTCTGAGTTCCTGATCAATCTCAGCCAGTGTCACTGTCTGGCTTTTCTTTGTGAAATTCATTAAGAAAAGACAAACTATCAAATAATAATTTTATTGAGTTAAGAGCTTTGGGTGGCATTGTGTAGGATTTAAGAATAAATCCAAGCTGGGTATGGTGGCAAACACTTGTAATCCCAGCATTCCAGGAGGTTGGGGCAGGAGGATAAGTTTGAAACCTGCCTGAGTGAATTAGCAAGGCCCTATCTCAAAATTAAAAAACAAAACAAAATTAAAAAACCCCCAAAACTAAAGCAAATGGGAATGTATCTCAGTGCAAAAGGTACTGGATTCAATCTGTAGTACCACCAGAAAAATAAAAAAATTAAAAATTTCCATTAGAAGAGTGACTTATACACACACACACACATACACACACACGTTTTATTTTTCCTGTATGAAGTTATGCTTAAGTAACCAGATAGAAACCCTAAGAAAAGTAATACTTTTTGAAGTCTTAGTGTTGTCTATTTTTGTAAACATATAGACCTTATTTAAGTGCAATTTTAGACTCAGTGAAATTGAGTAGAAAATAAAAAGTTCTCACCTACTCCTACCACTACCATGCCCCATATTCCACCAGTAACAGCATCCCTCATCAATGTGGTATATTTGCTATAATTAATGAACCTGTGAGGAGGAAAATGAAGGAAAGTTTAATCTTTGCTGAACTTATTTTATATTTTCATTAGTACCACTTCAACTATCTTGTTGAAGGTATCTGAGTACTAGTATGAACTATTTGGAAGAATGACATTTTCAACCTGCATATCAATTAAACCTACATTGAATATTATTGGGTTGATGAACTTTGTTGTACATAAGAGGGATTTTGAAACAAAAGACAATGATGAGTATGAGGTAGTATTATGAAAATATATATAGTGAAGACTCAGTGTCATGAACAGAAATTTTGAATCTGTAAAACAAATTATGTTGATTCAACAAATTTAATTGCCCTCTGATAATGTAATGGACATAAGTTACTGCAAATAGCAAGGTGGGCGAGTCTCTGTCCTCAGGGGTTGACAGTGAAATAGGACAGATGGATTTTTGAGCAAGTAACTGAAGTACCATCAGAAAGTGACATGCAGGTGAGGTGGCTAACTTTGCAAGTATGGGGAGGAGGCACAGTGGTGCTGCATTCATCTCAGAATGGACATGTGTTTACTCTTTGCCTCTTTCTGCATTTGTATTCAGTGCTCCTTGGAAAGTGCACGAGATCACAATGGAGAGATGGTCTTCAGCAAGTAGATGCCTCTCATATGGTTAAGAGTTGTGGAAGAATGGGTCATTCTTTTAATCCAACATTTTGCGGGGTTTTTAAAGTTAGGAGCTCTGGAAGGTTTTGTTGGGTTATTGCAAACATTTTTAGTAGTTAGAGAATTAAACTATTGGAGTCTTTTATGTTTCTGCAGTACCTTGCTTCATTGCTGGGGTCTTTCTTAGCTCCTGCAGCCTCTCAGGTTTTCAAGGTTTGTAGTGCTACCAACAGTGTTTCAGCTACACTTGAAAAATTCAACAAAGGTGAGTTTGAAAGAATTTTTCTGTGTGTAGCCGTAATCATTAAGATTGGTAGATACATTCATTCTTGATTTGTATCATTTATGAATGAAAAGATTAAACATTTTAGAATTGCTTACTGTTGTGTGTTCTAAATGAAGAAATCTGCTGATAGGTTTTAATAAAAGCAGATGTCTACAACTTGGCACAATGTAGTGTCTCAGTAGATGGAACTGAGCAAGATAAGAATCTAGTTTCCTTTTCTCACTCTGCTATGTTTGACTTCTTGTCAACACTTAATATCTCCTTTCTATAAATTGAGAGTTTATAGGAAAATTGAATATGAATCCTTTAGTGAATTAAGATGAGATGATTCTACAAAACTTGTTCACCTAAAATTTCATGTTACCATTCAGGTTTTCATTACAGCACCATTATGGCTTATGTTTAGATGTTCCCCCCAAAGGTCCATGTGGTCATAGGTGGGGCTTTTTCAGAAGTGGCTGGATCTGGAGTATGTGATGTTGAAATTGGTATGGTGTAATGCTAGGATCAAGGGCACTAGGTTTAGAGTTGTGAATGCTACCCACTCTAAGTAGCCTAGATAAAATGTA